TCATATATAAAATATATATATATATATATATATACACACACATATATATATATATATATATATATATATTTACTTTCCTTGACCTTTACCAAATTTACCTGTATTTACTTTGTTTTCAGGTTGATCCTTATTGGTTTCCATGCAAATTGAAATGAAAGTGAAATAAAGGTCAAAGGTTGTTTTTAGTATCTCAGTTAGACAGCTGCACTTCTGAAAAGAAGTGTGAGAAACCCATTTTTCCCTCACAATGGTTGGAGAGGCAGACACAACAAAAAGGCAGAGGAGATAGCAATACATTGGTGTACAAGTAGTCATATAGTCAGTTTTTGGTCTCTGACTGACAGCTATGATAGAGGTTTTTTCTGTTTGGTTATTACATGAATCTTAAGGGGATTTTTTTCATAGTGCTGATTTTTGACCAATTGTATGGAAACAATTGTGCATCAGTTTTGACCCCAACACAAAAACTGTAACACTACCCAGCTTTTTTTTTAACACAACAGGAGGGTTAAATTATTGTATTTTTATTATAATTTTAAATGACTGGATTTAAAATATTCACAGACAATAGACTTTATACCGTTAATTTCGCCAAAATGTTGCAAATTCCGATTTTCAGTGATGGAAGCATTATATTTACCGCTAAATTTACAGTAGCCCCGTGCACATATCAACTAAATATGAGGCCTGTGATCAGTAATGGTAGAGTCAGTGATAAATGAACTCATATTTTACATGACCGACTTCTGTCCTTTAGATGTGATGATGTTGACATTTTAAAAGAAAGAGAGAGCATTATGCGAAAGGCGCGAAAGGCTTCACGTAAAAAAAAAAAAAAGTGTTTCCTATAATAAGTATATGGTATTTTATATACAAATAAATATATAGATGAAATAATATAGTTTTTTCCACCGTGTGTATTTGTTATCAAATGTATAGCTCTGAATAATTAATTTACTCTTTAAAATAAGTGATTATTTTTCATTATCATTTATTTGTAATTGTACGGAAGTTTTCATTATTGCCGTTGACGTTGACCTGAGGCAAAATAAAAGTTTTCACTAATGTTCAGGACTACTTCCTGTTTACAAATGTAACCCTGTAAAGCGAAAATTTTGTAATATTAGTATATACTAATATTAGTATATAAAATAATAATAATAACAACAATAATACATTTTGGTAATAGCTTGTAATTTAAATCAATGCAATCTTTATACCAGTAAAACAAAAACATTTTCCCCAGCAAAGTTTACATCATGTTGACAATTTAGAAGTCTTATAAATTCATGTATCAAATACGATGCTTTATGAGGTTAAAGACTGTACTGAATCAGTTAAGATAAATGCCATGTATGAGATTAACGTTAGGTGTTAATTTAGGTTATAATAGGGAGATTTTAAATTTTTTTAATGCACTTTGACTGACGCAAGTATTTGCATACAAATAAAACTGCAAAACAACATAATTGAATAAAAGCAAGCAAAGTCTTGTGTCTTCAACCAATTGAAGTACACAGATTTCACAAGAACAGAGACTTGAATTCTCATCCCAATTTGAGGGAGCAGGTTTGAGAAGCAGAAGTCATATAGAGTTTTCTGCTGATGGCCACGAGAGCTCTTGACAAGGTTGTTGGATAGCAAAGCAGGAAGGTGTTAGTATGCTGCGGAGGCTACAGAATGCTTGAACAGCCCGGAGGGGAGCGGAGATGTCCATACTGAGATGTGCTGGATGTGGGGGCCAGGAATGATTGGAAAATAATCCAAGCTCTCGGACTGTTCAACAGCAGGCGGTCTGAGCTGCAGCATGGCAATTCAGAGAACAGTTGCCTTCCATAAAAGCAATTTCTACAGTGTCATTTTCTGGCACACTGTACACGATTCTGCAAAAGAGATTTTTAAGGTGGTGTTTTAATGGTTTGAAGTAAAAACGTTTTAATGATGTATTTGTTTCTTACAAACATGCAGCGTTTGGCTTCACAAGACATTAACTGATGGACTGGAGTGGTGTGCATTGGTTACTTGTGGATTATTGTGATGTTTTTATCAGCTGTTTGGACTCTCATTCTGACGGCACCCATTCACTGACGAGGATCTGTTAGTGAGCAATTGATGTAATGCTACATTTCTCCAAATCTGTTCCGATGAAGAAACTTTCCTGTGTCCCATTTCCTATATTCCTTTCATTTGGGTGAACTTTTCCTTTAAGAATGTTTAGCTACTGGAAACGGACAAAAATACTGAGGAAGAGAGTTTTGCAGTGCATTTCATATCATCCAGATCAAGCAGCCTTTTCTGAGCCTCAAGCATTAAACCACTCCATCATCCAAAACAAATTCGTGCTTCAGTATGAAATATAATAACTCAGTTTGAACTATAATAATTTGCTTCCTGCAGCACAGCAGAAACCGGCCAGCATACACAAAATCCATCTGTTGACAATCACGATTTTGATGATGTGGCTGTTGTGATGTCTGCTCGCTTAGACAATGATGGATAAACTAGATGAGGCTTCTTCTTCTTCTTTGGGAAGTCGTGGCCTAATGGTTAGAGAGTCGGACTCGTAACCCAAAGGTTGCGGGTTTGAGTCTCATACCGGCAGAGATTGTAGGTGTGGGGGAGGGAATGTACAGCGCTTTCTCCCACCTTCAATACCACGACTGAGGTGCCCTTGAGCAAGGCACCGAACCCCCAACTGCTCCCCGGGCGCTGCAGCATAAATGGCTGCCCACTGCTCCGGGTGTGTGTTCAAAATGTGTGTGTGTGTTCACTGCTGTGTGTGCACTTTGGATGGATTAAATGCAGAGCACTAATTCCTAGTATGGGTCACCATACTTGGCCACATGTCACGTCACTTCACTTCACTAAGACAGCATATGCCCCTTTTCAAGGTCTCTGTAGGGATTTTGTCAGAGCTACTGTTGGGTTCATGCAGCGAACGGGAGTACTGGAAGGAATCCAGGCCGGCTCAGCCCATACCAGGACTTTGTTCTAGGAGCTCTCAGTCCGGCTTTCATTCATCTTTGATCATAAGAGAAGTGTCTGCTGACTTCACCGGAACAGCTCTGGTCCCCGGAGCGATCAGAACACGAGCTCCGTGTTTATCCAGCTTTCCCCGTGCCTCTGCTGTTTTATTCGGCCTTTCTGCAAGAGTGGTTTTTGATCAGCCAAAGACACGAGAGGGTTAGAGAGAGCTTTCAGTTTTTCTCTCAGAAGTGGCAGTCTTGATGGCGCCTCGGGGACGTGTTAATAGTCTCTGCGGCACCTGATGTATGCTTGACTTGTACGGTCCCCACTCATCAGCCGTGGCGGTCACTGTCCGACTCCAATACCCTCCTCGGCGGTTTCAGAGGCTCATCTGGAGAATTCATTGCTTTGCTGCGGTGATATTTTCTGCATTGCTCCGTTCAGTGAGATGATAGATGAGGCTGTGTGCAAATAGCTGCCTTCTAAGGGAGCAAAATGAAACCCCTTTAGTTATTTGTGCATAAAAGAACCAAATGTAAACATATTTGGAATGCTCTGAATAGGTAGCAAGTCTACAAGTTATACAAATGACTATCAATTTATTACACACACAGGCCTATATAATTCTCCCTATATATATATAATTTTTCAGAAATTACATTTTCATATTTGTTTTTCCAATTTGGCTAAAGAGGTACTTTGGAAAAGGCTTTTGGTCCTGAGTGTGCCTTAAAATGCTGTCTTTGTAAGCATCATACAAGGATATATGACAGATTTTACATCCTAAAATAAACAGTCAGGTTACAGTTTCAGCATCTTGTTTATATACAATGGGTGTTCTTTAATGAAAAAGTAGAACAACAAAGTTACATAATTGCGCTGAAGACTGAAACAAAACAAGCAATAAATGTCTTATCACTGAAGGGAAATTAGTGGCTAAAGAAGTGGACATTACGAAGCATTACATGTTACACAGCTCAAGCTAATTCGACATTTTTTCCTTAAAAGTTGAACCTCACAAAGCTTGCCTGGGTCATATTTCACCCCCAAATAAAACAAAACATTGAAAAAATACTGCATAAAGACATATATTTTTAAGACCAATAAGTCATGTTTTTTTTCAATGTGGAATGACAATTAAGCAAATTTCCCATATAAAAAAAATTAGTAGTATTTGTTATACAGTCTATTATAAAAATAATAAAATGTTTTGATTTTAGGGTGAACTATGATAGACATGTTTTGTGCAGTGAACCTTGTTTTTACTAACCTGATTTATTTGAGGGTAGAAAAGATCATGTTATGTTTATTTTACAATACAAAACCATGATTCACCAAAACCTCTATCCACAAAAACTGCACAGATTAGCTGACAAACAGAAAATATATCCACCTAATTTATCCACTAGCTGTAATGGTACACACTCACGGCTCAATGGCATCACTTCATCACCTCACTTCATCTAACAGGCCTGAGCCCAGGTTTTCCTCATGATGATGTAAACACGGGGCATATAGTGACCACACTTCCTGAGATTTGTGATTCAGTTTCTCTCTGATTGTGATAGGGCTCTAGGAAGAGGGCTGTTCAGTGTCTGTCTGTGGTTCTGCGTCCGTTTCATTCACGGCAGAAGAACTTGTAGGATTATGGGAGGAGCCGTTTAAAGGTTGCGCCTCACAGGACGACGTCTGCGTTTTGATTGGTTTAGAGTCCCTAAACGATGCCTCCTTTACCTCTTCTTCTACTTTAACATCTTTCTTGCAGTTTATCTCGCCATCCTGCTCTTTCTTCTTTCGTTTTTTTGGGACGGCGTGTTTATTTTCCTCTATTTTCAGCTCGATCTTCACTTCCTTTTTCCAGGCTCCGAATGGGAGGATGTCCTGGTCTCCACCTGAACTTTCACACAGCATTGGCCCCGCCCACTCTGGAACCTCCAATCCCAGCAGCTTCATCAGCTGACCCATGACCTCGTCTACATAGCCGCGGATATGCAGGTGGGCGTGTTTGTCCTACAAAAACCAAGTAGCACTGTTAAGAAAAAACAACCTGAGAGATTTTAAAGCAAAAACAAAAATGAATATGAACTAATACAAAAGCTTTCTGTGGATGACAATTTAAGCTGTTATTCACTGAAATCCATCACACAGCTATTGTGTGACTTCAGACGTACGACTGCTACTTGACAACTATTATATGCACTGCAAAAAATGCTTTTCTAGTTTAGATCTTTTGTCTTGTTTCCAGCCAAAATATCTAAAAATTCTTAAATCAAGAAGGATTTTCTAGACAAGCAAAAATTATTGTCTTGTTTTCAGAAAAAACAAGCCGAATTCAAGTGAGTTTTTGCTTGAAACAAGCAAAATAATCTGCCAATGGGGTATGAAAAATAATCTTGTTTTCTGTTTTTTCTGAAAACAAGACAATAATTTTTGCTTGTCTAGAAAATCCTTCTTGATTTAAGAATTTTTAGATATTTTGGCTGGAAACAAGACAAAAGATCTAAACTAGAAAAGCATTTTTTGCAGTGTGTTTATTGTGCTTTTTATTACTTTTTGCATTCTACAGGAGAAAAATCACACAGGTTGTATAAAAAAAAGTGAATGTTTTAATTTTTAGGATTGTTTTTAAAGGGGTCATATGATGCGATTTCAATTTTTCCTTTCTCTTTGGAGTGTTACAAGCTCTTGGTGCATAAAGATCTGTAAAGTTGCAAAGACTAAAGTCTCAAATCCAAAGAGATATTCTTTATAAAAGTTAAGACTACCACGCCTACCTAAAACGGCTCGTTCGAACATGCCCCCACATATCTACGTCACGATGTGGGAAGATTTGCATAACGCCGCCCAAATATTCACGGAAAGAAGGCGTAACTTTTATTCTCGCTGTAGTATTGTTGTTGCCGCCGCCGTCATGTCGTGAAGGCGCTGTGTGTTTCGTTGTAAAAGCGAAACTATGTTGTTTGGTCTTCCAAAAGAGGACGATATCCGCTTCGTCATGCCTAGAGCTGATCCGTGCTGGTCGCTGAGGAAATACATCAACTTCACGCTGTTGATAGCCGGATTGGCTTTCACCGTGGACGAAGCGGAGTCCAGCCCGGGGTCGTCACATGTGGTTGCCGCAAGCCCGCCAGACGCTCCTTCGTCGTCCTGTGGTTGCCGCCCGCCCACACAACGCACTGGATAGCTGGCCAATCAGAGCACACCTCACTTTTCAGAACGATGAGCTTTGTAAAAATCGACACGTTTCAGAAAGGCGGGGCATAGAGGAGAAACAATAGTGTACAGTATGTGGAAAATAATGTGTTTTTTACACCAAATACCCAAAATAATGTTCTTTTTTGCAACATCATATGACCCCTTTAAATTTTTAATGTTACAAAGATTTATATTTCAAATAAATACTGTTCTTTTCAACTTTCTATTCATCAACGAATCCTGGAAAAAGAAATGCATCACGGTTTCCACAAAAATATGAAGCAGCACAACTGTTTTCAACATTAATAATCAGAAATGCTTTTTAAGTAATGATGTTTAAAATTCAGCTTTGATAACGGCAATCAATTACATTTTACAACATATTCACATAGAAAACAGCTATTTTAAATTGTAAAAATATTTCACAAGATTACTGTTTTTACTGTATTTTTAATCAAAACAATGCAGCCTTGGTGAGCAGAAGAGACTTCTTTCAAAAACACAAAAAATCTTACTAACCCCAAACATTTTCCTTGAAAATTACACACCTACATATCTATTTGTTTTTTCATTCTTTAGTTCGTCGGTGTGAAATACTAATTTACTTTGAATAAATGGACACTTTAATCAATCACAGCAGAGTCAGATTACCGACCGACATAACGAAACAGCGCAAGAAATGCCAAATTCTATTTCTTTACACATTAAGCTGCTATAATACCATAAACTCCCCCTTCAAAAATCTGACTCATCTGAAAAATAACTCATGTTGCATGTGTGTCAGGCTTTGAATTTTAAACTAGATTTAGAAAAAAATAAATCCAATTTGGGAACTGAGATGTTGACAGGAAGTAGAAGCAATGAGGTAAAGAGGCAAAAATAACCTTCAGATGAAACATGACTCTAACATGGGCATATAACAACACGTCTAAAAATGAATAGGATTAATCCATTAAAACACATTCCAGCCACATGATGAGATCAGAAAGGAAACGACAGACTAACGATACGAGCTTAAAGGGGTCATATGATGCGATTTCAAGTTTTCCTTTCTCTTGGGAGTGTTACAAGCTGATTGTGCATAGATAAGATCCCTGAAGTTGCAAAGACTAAAGTCTCAAAACCAACGAGATATTCTTTATCAAAGTTAAGACTCTGCCACGCCCCCTAAAACGGCTCGTTCTAACACGCCCCCACATATCTACCTCACTATGTGGAAATATTAGCATAATGCCACCCAAATGAGCATGCAAAGAAAGAAGGTGTGGTTTCAGTAACCGCAGTTAGTGTTGAAGCAGCATGTCAGGGAGACGCTGTGTGTTTCTAGGCAAAAGCAAAAGCACTTTATTTTGCCTTCCGAAAGTAGATGCATTTAGGAATC